TGAAAAAAAAGACACAACACAAAAACCTGAACATCAAATAGCCACAAACCACATCTCCACCCAACAATCACAATCCAATCCAAAACCCAATCCACAAATAAACGCAACCCAGACAAATATTGATATCCCAATCCTCATCAGAGAAGCTGTTGAGCGTGAACGGAAACGTCCAAACGCCATCTTATTTGGACTAGAAGACAGCATTGTCAATGATGACATCACAACTGTCCGAAACATCATCAGAGATTACCAAGCATCAACCATCTCCGGCGATGAAATACTTGACATTTCCCGCATTGACCGAGAGCTTAAAAATAGAGACGGCTCTGTGGCCCCACGCTTGTGCAGGATCATTTGCAAAAATGAATCAAGCAAACGTAAACTCATTTACACTATAAACTCACTCGCCAAAACCAACACCAACCACAAAAACCTCCGTTGCCGCCCTGACTTAACCATACAGCAACGTGCCCGCTCCCGTGCACTCCGCATCGAACTCAAAACCCGTCTAGACAATGGAGAGAAGGACCTGTACATTGACTACCATGCTGACTGCATCAAAAGTAAGACACGCAACCCAATACCCAACTTTTACCCTCAACCACTACCCTACCTCAACCACCTACCACCACCCACCATCACCCAAAACTACCCACCACCCACCATCACCCAAGACTAGGCACGCACGCCCCCAACTACCTCAATCCCAACTGCTGCCGGACTTAAATGCAAACTACTCAATGCAAGAAGCCTCGTGAATAAAATACCTGAATTTCTCATCCTCTTAAATATGGCTAACTTCGACATTATATTTGTCTGTGAAACATGGCTCAATGCATCTCTCCCCGACTCCATTACCACAGTAAGAGACTATCATGTTTACCGATCAGATCGTGAAAATCGTCGAGGAGGTGGTGTTGCTATATTCTATAAAAAATCCTTACATCTAAAAAATATCCAAGTTACCCAGGAGCTTGCCCTTCCTGAAACCATCATCTGTGAACTATCCTTAAATATCACAATTCGATTCTTACTATGTTACAGAGCACCTGATTATGACATCGAACATATAAACAAGCTAAATACACTACTAACATGGGCTACATCCTGCCCATACCCTTTTATCTTTCTTGGAGATTTCAATCTACCTCATATTGACTGGACCCTAAATAATTGTACAACTGAAATCATACACACAACCTTCTTCAATGCTATTACAAATCTAGGTCTTGAACAACTAGTAACCAACAACACTAGACTGAACAACTGCCTCGATCTCATCTTCTGCAATAGTTTGAATTTAATTTACCGAATACAAACCAAAGAACCCTTTTCCAGTAGTGATCACAATATGATTGACTTTTGCCTCAACATACGTCCACGCAAAAATCACCACAACAATGTCATCCCTAGTTGTAACTTCAAAAAAGGCAATTATGATCTTATAGATAACGATCTCTCATCCCTCGATTGGCAATCTCTATTCACTGGATGCAATACTGTTGAAGATCATTACAACATATTTTTACTTGAAGTCAAAAGAGTCATCAAACTATATGTTCCAACAACAACTCCAATAAAAAAACAAAAAAGCAGATTACCCATATCAATAAGGAAACTTCAATCCAAAAAGAGATCACTCTGGCGGAAAAACAAATCTGGTCACGTTGCTAATTTCAAAAACCGATATAAAAATTTATGCCACCAGATAAAGACCGAATGCACCAATTACCACATTAAACAAGAGGAAAACCTTCTAAGCACCAATTCCACCCGTGCTTTTTACAATTTTGTAAACAACAAACTAAAAGACTCAAGGTCCATCCCTCCCTTGATAGGACCTGATGGTAAAGACTGCAGCGACGACACCATTAAAGCCAACATCTTTAACACATTCTTCGGCTCAGTGTTTGTAAACAGTAATGGATCATGCCCAATGTTTCCTAGCCGTACCACAGACAACAATAATGATCTAATACATATCGATTTTACAGTAGACAACGTTGAAAAAGCACTACGCAACCTAAAACCATCTCTATCTATTGGACCGGATGGAATATGTGCCTACTTCTTAAGAAAACTATCCGCTGCCATAGCCAAACCTCTAAGCATAATCTTTGAAAGATCTTTCAGAACCAGCTCCTTGCCCAACCTATGGTTACAAGCCACAGTCATTCCCATCTTCAAAAAGGGAGACCCAAGCCTAGTTGAAAATTACAGACCAATCTCCTTATGCTGCGTCACCTGTAAAGTCATGGAATCAATTATTAACCAATCCATCATCCTCCATTTAGAGACAAACAACCTACTCTCCAATAAACAATTTGGTTTCAGAAAAAAACTATCCTGTAATCTGCAACTCTTACACTGCAAAAACATATGGACTACTCAACTCGACCAGGGCAAAGCAATAGACGCAATCTACATAGACTTCTGCAAAGCCTTTGATTCAGTGGTACACGACAAACTACTCCTAAAAATAAAATCTTATGGTATCTCTGGACAACTGAATAACTGGATAGAAGCATTCCTGTCAAACAGACAACAAATGGTCAAAATTGGGAACGCCCTATCAAATCCAGTACCTGTCAATAGTGGTGTTCCCCAAGGCAGTGTTCTAGGACCAACTCTCTTCATAATCTACATAAACGACCTTTGTGATCATATCAAGAGCAATTGCGTTCTCTTCGCTGATGATGTAAAGCTGTTCAATACCACAGACAATACTACTACCCTTCAAAAAGATCTAGACTATGTATCTGAATGGTCTAACATATGGCAACTCCAAATCTCAACAAATAAATGCTCTGTCTTACATATTGGTAAAAAAAATCAGAAAATAAAATACAAACTGAATAGTCAAGATCTTGTTGATGACCCAAGCTCTGTAAAGGACCTGGGAATACTCACCTCTAATGATCTAAGTGCTAGAGCTCACTGCAACTACATAGCCAAAAAGGCATTAAGAGTTGTTAACCTAATCCTACGTTGCTTTTTCTCTGGTAATATCTCACTACTAACCAGAGCATACAAAACATTTGCTAGACCAATACTCGAATACAGTTCATCAGTCTGGAATCCTTATCACGTATGTGATATTAACACAATTGAGAAAGTCCAGAAGTATTTCACAAGAAGAGTTCTCCACTCTTCTACCCGTTATAGAATACCTTACGCCACCAGACTCGAAATTCTAAAACTAGAAAACCTCGAATTACGCCGTCTTCGGTCCGACTTAAGCATGGTATATAAAATCATACATTGCAATGTCCTACCTGTCAATGAATACTTCAGCTTTAACCATAACAACACAAGAGCACACAACAGATACAAACTCAAAGTAAACCGCACCAAACTTGATTGCAGGAAATACGACTTCAGCAATAGAGTGGTCAATGTCTGGAATACTCTACCCGACTCTTTAGTCTCTTCCCCAAACCCCAAAAACTTTAACCTTAGACTGTCTACTATTGACCTCACCCCTTTCCTAAGAGGTCTGTAGGGGGCGTGCATAAGCGCACCAACGTGCCTACCGTCCCTGTCCTATTGTTTCTCTTATTCTTTTATTTTTCTTATATGTACCCATTTCATATATTCACAACTATGTATACACTTGTACTTATTATCTTGTAAACAATTGACAAATCAAATAAATAAATAAAAATAAAATAAAATAAATAAATTTTCACCTATGTACAGATCAAGGGCTCATTACAAGTTATGAAATCTTAAGCTGAAATATACGTCTCATTTAATGCAAAATGATATTAAGGTTAGGTGGATTCAGTTAAGATATTCTTCACTAGGTACCGTGTTTCTCATATAATAAGGCCGGGTCTTTTTTTTTTTTTTGAGCCCCCCAAAAATGGCTAGGCCGTCTTTTCGGGGGTGACTTAATTCCCCCCCCCTTGCATCTTTGGGCGGGCGGCGACGGCTTGGATGTTGACCTTGGTGTTGGTGGGGCACTTCATATCGGGGTCAACGCAGGCAGCACCATATCCAGGTGTGCAACAAAAGTACTTCCTAACGGCAAGCCCCCCCACCATTCCCCCCATTTCGCATGTTTTAATATAGGCCTTAATTTGGGGGGAGGGGCTTAATTTCATTTCATGCCTATAAAACATTCTGGGACTTCCTATTGGGGGAGGCCGTATTGTTGGAGAAACAGGGTATTTATGATTCAACTTTCTTGATCTATCCAGGACACATTGCTTAATTTTAATTATATTGTACATAATCTCATATGCCCTGCTGAGCTTACCCATGGAATAATGTCATTCTATTCTCACCAGTATGCTGTATTCCTACCACCACTTACTTAACTTTCTGAATCCCATAATATTTATTTTTATTTATTTTATTTACTTATTTGTCAAGCAAGTATTAGATAACAAGTATAAGCATGGTTATGAATACATAAAATGGATACGAATAAAAAGAAACAATAGGACAGGGACAGTAGGCACGTTGGTGCACTTATGCACGCCCCCTGCAGACCTCTTAGGAAAGGGGTGAGGTCAATAGTAGACAGTCTAAGGTTAAAGTTTTGGGGATTTGGGGAAGAAATATTGCTGTAGCAGTCACCACAGACAGAATTCTGAATTCATATGAATCCAAACACATGCTCAAAAGTACGTATCAGAGCAGTTTCAGACTTCAGCTTATGCCAATTTGATGTTTATATGTGAGGTATGCTTGCTTGCTGGAGTAATCCAGGAGACCTAGGCAGTTTGCCAAACTAGCATCGTAACATTCTACTTCCTTGCCCATGTTATATTTGCAGAAAGTAAATTCTGAATTTCATATTGACTCCTGGCATGTACTTAAACTGAAACCCTGCAGCTTTCTTGGCAAGATGCTTTTTGGTGTACTGTGGTTCTGGGGCTGCTTTCCCTCCATCCTCACATAACAAAGGCCAGCTCTAGCCTACCTCAAGAGCATGGCACAAAAGGGCCTTTTTGCCACACTGTGGTTCTGGGGCTATTTTTTGTCCCTGCCCCCCCCCCCCCGATAGCATGAAGCACAATCTCAGCTTAACCTAGCAGCTAGATCAGACATACCTTGTTGTTGTGGCTCGGAGGTTTGAGCCTGCTTTGTTAGAGGACAAAGACTTGGACAATGAGGAAGAGGAGGATTTGGCTTTGAGGTTTGAGCCTGCTTTGTTAGAGGACGAAGATTTGGACAATGAGGAAGAGGAGGATTTGGCTCTGAGGTTTGAGCCTGCTTTGTTAGAGGATTTGGAGTTGCCTTCCTCCCCAGGACTTTCCTCTTCGGCAAGACCTTCCTCCCTGATTGTGCCTCAGGTGTCGGCAGATAACCAGGAGAGCGTATCAGAGCCTCTGACTGAGGATCAAGCTGAGGAATGCTGGCTTGATGAGAGGCAACGGCGCAGGCAAAAGTGTGAGCTGCAACGTAGAAAGAAAGGACGAATCAGAGACTGAGATGAGGGACTGACACGCCCCACAGGGAATAAAAGTGGGTGTGTTCGCTCTGGGAACTTGTTCGGGACAACGTGTTACTTAGTGAGAGAAGCTTCGGAATATCCTGTGTGCAAAGACAGCTTGTGATTTATTTTTCCTGCTTTATTGTCGGACTTGGCAGACAGCTTGTGTGAGACTGCCAAGAACTTTATCAGCTCAAGGAATTTAACCCTGTAATTACCGGACTTGCTTGCTTGTTTGTGTTTAGTTGGAAATTTGGACTTCTCACCTTGTTGGTACAGGTGAGACATAACACCTTGTTGTCTATGGAGACGCTGCAATGTGCAATATCAGGAATGGATCATAACTCTGTTCTTTCAGTACCACCATAACTTCAAACAATCACTGAACGAAGAGTCTTAAGTCAAGGACTACCTGCATATATTTTATGGGACTTTGAACCAGTGGTGGGATTCAAATATTTTTACCACCGGTTCTGTGGGCGTGGCTTGGCGGGCACGTTTTCCGCACATGCACACACTTTGCGTGCGCGCACCAAACACGCACTTTGCACAGACGCAGAGGCGTTCTAACTCGCCTCCTGCAAACCTGCACGATCGCAGTCGCTTCATCAGCTGCTGCGCAGCACTATTCTGTGGCGCGCAAAGCAGCTGCGCTTCAAATTCAGAGGATAAAGGTGAGTATCTGAATCCTGGGCGGGTGGGCGGGCGGGCCCAACAGCAGAGTGGTGGAGAAAACCAGTTTGGTCTCTCATTGCAGCTCAGCAGAACAGGGCCGAACTGGCAGAATACCATCTCTGCTTTAAACTGATTGTTGCAACTACTAATCTCATGTGGTGGTGAATTGTATGTAGGTGTTTTCCTGAAGTTTGAACTATAAGAGCAACATGGAATTATTTGAAAAGCAATAACTCTCCTATTCAGAACACACAATGTTGACAAGTGGTGTAAAGAAGCACAGCTCCGTTACTGCTTTAACTTTGCCAAATATTCTTTGCAACTGTCAGTTAACTGTCAGTTAGCAACACTTTGAAGACAATTTCATATTTTTTTTCAAGTAACAGAGTATGTCTAAGCTGCCAAGCCATTGTTCTTTTCTTTTAGAAATGTAAAACAAACTGTAGCAACTAATCATACTACATAAACACTTATCATAAAGTTCTCCACTGAACACCTCACATAAATTATGGCTGAATACATTCTGATGCAGTGTTACTTGTGATACAGTTTCCTTTACATCACAGGAGAACATAAACAAAATAAACCACCTACATGTTTCTTCCTGTAGGTATGTAGGAAGTCCTGGTTCCAGTTCCAAGGAGCGGGTCTGAATGCAGTAAGTTTTTCAACAAAGGAACTCCTTCCAAAGGAAGAAGCAGAATAAAGTTGATGAATTAATAGAATGTATCAGAATCTGTGATTCAGTTCGTCTGGGAAGAAATTGAGACAATAGTTTTGCTGTCCTACTATCGCCATTGATTAATATAGGAGCAAGGAACTTTAGGCCAGTCTTTGTGAATTCCAGCAGGCCTCTCCCACAAAAGTCTTCTGAAGTTTCATGTTTTTGCTTCGTAACAGGTACAGAGACATCAGAAAACAGGCTGACAGGTGCACATGTGATCCATGCAATGCAGGTGAGGCAGCCAGACTACAAGTTCCAATAAAAGCAGTGATAGGATTCAATTTTTTTTTTACTACCGGTTCTGTGGGCGGGCTTGGTGGGTGGGGCAGGGGAACGATATTGTAAAATCTCCAGTCAGAGGTGGTATTTGCTGGTTCTGCGAACGACTCAAAATTTCTGCTTCCGGTTCTCCAGAGCTGATCAGAACCAGAGGTGGTATTCAGCAGGTTCTGACCAGTTCTGGAGAACTGGTAGCAGAAATTTTGAATAGTTTGGAAAACCGGCAAACAACACCTCTGACTGGAGATTTTACAGTATCCTTTCCCTGCAACGCCCACCAAGCCACGCCCACAGAACCAGTAGTTAAAATTTTTTGAATCGCACCACTGGTCAGAACCTGCTAAATACCACCTCTGAATAAAATATGCCATGCACTCAGGTCCTACTCCCAAATTCTCAATCTACTTTAAGAGAAATGGTAGAATGAACAAATACAGAGAAAGTAAAAGAACCAGAAACTGTATAATGTGAATTAAATAATTGGTTTAAAAAGAGATGGATGAAGAGAAGTGAAAAATTTTTCCCTTCAGCTGAAAGCTGGTTATATAATTTTGAAGCAATGTTGGACAAAGTATTGGTTGCTTTCAGCTATTTTGATTCCAACTTCTCATTTTTTGCTAAGGCTACGCTCACCGTAAGGAACGATTATTGATATTTTTAATCTCCTTTTCATGCCTGTATGATACCTGCTCAACTCTTTTGCAAAGTTATGGGAGGTTTTAAGCTAACTTTCCTAAGTCAGATATTCTCCAGATGCATTGATCTACACCTTTTAAAGTACATGGCCAATAGGCATTATTATTCAGACTGATGGAACTTGCATCCGTTACCTTCTGGCCCATTTGTAAGTAAATGGCAGATTGTTCCTTCCAAAACCAAGAGCTCACCCACTTCCTTGTCATTCCATTCCATACAATTCAGATGAATCTGTTACTTGCTATTAACATACATGTTCCTTTTTGAAGAATGGAATGGAACAACTCATCAGGGTCAACTTGCCACTGTCAACTCACCATGGGACAATTTGCCATGGGACAACATACTGCAGGACAATTCAACAATTCAATTTAATCATTTAAAATAATTTTAAAAAGATTTTAATTTTTGTCATTCACACTTCGTTTTGTCCCTTCTTTGGCATCCTTTCTTTAATGATTCTATTCCACTAGTATAACTCTTATTCCATGTGAGTTTTCCAATGGTGAGTTGGCCACAGCAAGTTGGCTGCCGCAAGTTGGCTACCATGAGTTGGCCATAGCGAGATGGCCATTGCGAACTGTCATAGACTTTTCAAGAATTGTTGAGATTCCAAATCAATGCTTACCAGTCACCTTCCCTCCCTCTCTCCTCAGACATGTTCAGAGACAATGAATCTTGATATATACTGTACTACTCTTGAGCCAGATCAAAATTTCCAGGCCATAATTCTGTGGAAGGAAAAATGTAGCTATTTCATTACCTGAAAGATTACTGTACATGGAATCATGCCACTTTCTTTAGCAGCTGTCTTTCAGACATTAGGATTCTCTGTCTCTTTCAAATGCCCAATAGAAACAATAAGATGGTTTCAATCTCCTGGGTATCTTTAACACCTGCACTAAGTATAGAAACATGGATAGTAATTAGATACAATTATAGTAATCATAGCCTACTAAAAAGGAAACGAGTGGTACAGTAAAGGAACTTCATAAATGAAATTCAAGGTATTTTTAAACCAGGCAGGGAAAACAGCTGGAATTCCTTTCAAACCTTTTGCCAAGAGGACTTGTTGGAGGCATCCATCCTTTGTTCTGTGTAATAGAGTAACAGCGAGGAAGTATATTGTGTTATACATACATGTGTGCATGTGTGCACTGGGAAGCTTGGGGTCTGGCTGCATGTACTCTTTTGTGTGTGCAGGAGACAATGGGACTTAGGACAGAGCAGTCAATAGCCTTTTGAGCTGCTGTTTCATTTCTTCTTTCAGAGGGATGCACTCAGAGAGTTTTCTGGATTTTTTTCCCCCCTCCCCAGCTCTTGACTTGATCTCGCCCATTTTTAATCTTCCTTTGGTAGTTTTCATACCAAATTTGACCCAGCTCTGTTCTGTTTTGGGAATGTTATCTTAACTTACCTGAGGGAAAAAAAGTCAGAGTGCTGATCCCTTTTGTATAATTTATTTCCAACATTTCTTTGGTTTGAAAAGAAGAACAATGGATCTAAAAGATCAATAAAGCTATATCATGTCTGTATGATTCATGGTCCTTTATAGGTGCAGCTTCATTACTTTCAAAGCTTTAAAGTTTTTAAAACATTTCTTTCCTACCATAGGGCACCCTTCATGATATATTGCATTATGCTTACCTATTAAAAATGCAAGCAGAGCTTACCTAAATCAGACCTATTTAGGAAAGTGTCCCACAGGAGCCAAAAAAAGTACAACTGAGAACCTGCATATGGTTAGGCTATTGGTAGCTAAAGTGACCACAGGTGTATATCAAATAATGACTATATAATGGAAGATACCAGATGACTAAAATTAGCAAAAATGTATTCATTAAGTCCAGATGCATACAACATTAGAGAGTCCCCTCCCATTCAGCTGTGGTGAGCATATAGAACAGAAAACTAAGAGCCATACTTGGCACATACCTTGGGCAAGTTTTTTTTTAAAATAAAGTTTTATTGAGTTTTAACAAAACAAATAAAACATCTTATTTGAGTTCAGCATGGTTCTGGGTTATCACATTTCCATACAGACACAATTTCATATGCATATTTATCTTATGTATTCAACTTCATATCTTATTGCTCTTTTTCCAACTTCTCACTATTTCTCCCTTTACTTCTCTTAATTTTCTTTTATGGTTATCTCATTTTCTTCTTATTCAATTGTATTTCTTTTACCTAAATTTCTATATCTTTTTATTCATTATACTTATACTTTCGTCTGTCTTGTTTACAATTTCATATGTTCTCTTCCAACATTCTTAAAAAGCAAAATTCCCCCTATGATTGCCAATCAAAGTGCAACACCTTTAAATCTTATTGTTATTATCATATGAAATCTCATTAAAATTGAATTTATGCATTCTAAAATTATAACATTCAAATTTCTAATATCTATTTTATATCATGTAAATCTCATCATTCATTTCAAAAAATTCAAATACGAAGCCAAAAGATCTTCCTCCCCTTTCTGCATCTTCTTTCTGTTTTTTAAGACTCATCTGCAATTCCTCCAGGAGTGATGGCATTTTAAACACTTTTGAACAACCACCTGATTGACTTTAAGTAAAAACAGAAACAGAAAGAAAAAACCAATGCCAAAAACTTTTTTTAAAAATCATAAAATGATCCCAAACTGTTCCTTTTTGTTTCTTTCCTTTACTTTTCCTTTCCATGGGTTACTGTATCTTTTAATAAGATTTCAGTTACAATGTATCCTCAGGAGTCTTTTCAAAGTTTCACTGTTAATCCTCTTTATTTTTCCAGGTGGCACTCCATTTTTCCATTATTCCAAGTCCCACCCTTTGGCCTCCACTCTTCTCCTTTTTAGGGCTTTAAAATGACCAAGACAAAATCTTTATTCTTCTTTTGACACTTAGATTTCAGCTTAAGGTTGCCTATTAGTATAAAAATAGATTAATATAAATTTCTTTCCATACCATTTGTAATTGTCAATATAAAGGTTAAAAAAAGGGTTTTTAACCTCCTTTTCTCTCTCCTTCGCTGCTTAAAGATCTTCTTTTAGAAGTATCCCTCTAGGTACTTTTAGATTCAGGGTACCTTGCTTAGATGTTCTCTGTTGTTTAGCCCGGTCTGTCCTGCTTTCCTCTTTGTCTTCCTTCTGCACAATCTTATACAGTCGGGTTCTTCTTTGAGTTGGCCATTTCTGACCACTGCTGCAACCGCCTTCAGGGAAGGGAGTTTAGACCAGCCAAGAAGGAGAGATGTGGCTCCCCTCCACTCAGCTAGCAATCTCCCCCATCTTCACCACCTCTACGGGGTGGCTTCAGCCCCGAATCCAAAGGATCGGGGTGCTCCAGCGGTGAGGACAGATCAAAACCGTGCACAATCACGGATTTCGGTCTGTCGCTGAAGAAACCCTTCCGGTTTTACCTTGGGCAAGTTTTATAGCCTTTCAACCAGAGGTGGTATTCAGCAGGTTCTGACCAGTTCTGGAGAACCGGTAGCGGAAATTTTGAGTAGTTCAGATAACCAGCAAATACTACCTCTGACTGGAGATTTTACACTATCCTTCCCCTGCCACGCCCACCAAGCCACGCCCACCAAGCCACACTCACAGAACCGGTAGTAAAAATAAATAAATCCCACCACTGCTTTCAACCATTCTCATCATTTCACATCCCCACAACCCTGGAGTTGCTAAGTTTAGGCAAAGAAAGGTTATTGAGGATTATTATTAGTGAGTATTATTATTAGTGAATATTAGCTGTTAGTGATGGTTGTTATTAGTGAAGATAGCTATGTTGTTAAGTGTCTAGCTGTTATTAGGCACCTAGTTAAGGCAAATGTGGAAAATATCATCTAATTGAAGATGGGAGCTTGCTATCTTGCAGCTCACACCAAGAACAGCTTGCTAGTTGGGGAAGCCAAATAGGAAGAGCTCACTTGTCTAAGCAGCTTCTCTTCCCCATGTTAATTAAATTGTG